GAGCAAATTTGCAGTGAGTATTGGGTTAAGTGGGAACATATATTTTGATTTGTTGGTTGTGGCACTGTTGCACAGTAATTTATTAAAATTGCATCTCAAAGGGCTGTTTTGCTAAAAGCAGCATCTTATCCTTCATTTATCTATCTACAAGCAAGACATGGCTCACTTGTTCTTCTATATGTAAGAAGAGTTTCATTAACCTTTTCAAAAAAAACCTTCAACTAGCAAGGATACACACATTTTAAAAGAAAACCCCAGGTCTGCTTGTCATGTCAAGTCTCTCTGTTTTCCTCTGCTCGCTCTCTCTCTCTCTCTCTCTCTCTCTCTCTCTGCCTCTGCCTGCCTAGTTAGTCTCATGTCTGTCACCTGTGTTGCTCCCGCCCTGCTCGTTAGTTCCTGTGTATATATACCTGGTGTTTCTGTTTGGTCTTTGTTCTGGTCATTGTTCATGTTACCCCCAGTCGGTTGTGTGTATACTCTCTGCCTTCCTGTAGCCAGCCTTGCTCGTCTTGTCACCCTGTACCTCTGGATTTTGGATTTCTGTTAGGATCACCTTGGTTTTGGACTCTGTTAACCAGCCACTCTGTCAGTAAGTGTGCTCGCCTTTTGTTTGTTTTTTGCCTCAATAAATCTTCTCGTTTCACTGCACCACCTCTGCCTTGCGTCCTGCATTTGGGTCCTCCAACCTGCCTCCACACCACCCATCGTGACATTTCTTGTGTCAAAACAGAGGCAAATATAAAGAAAGGAAATGCATTGACAAATCTGAGAAATATATAACCAAAGAGATTATTTAGTTTAGTCTTTCTGCTTACGTAGACTAATTGAATGTAGCATCTTTGGACAAAAGAAGCATTAACTGATAGAAGTTATAACTCACTGGTGTCTAGTGACCTGAATATGTTAATGTTGTATGTAGCATCTTTGGACAGTCAGATTACCTTCTGTCCTAAGTGAATCCACACCAGCTCTAAACCCCCACATGATAAGACATTGAACAGGGAGTCTAATCTTTCGACGCTAACAGACACAACAAACTGATCCACAAGGCCAGTGACGTTGTGGGGGTTGGAGCTGGACAATGTCTCCCACCCACTCCATGATGTGCCGCTCAAACACAGGAGCACTTTCAGTGTAAGACTCATCCCCCACCCAAAATGCACCACAGAGTGCCACAGGAAGTCATTCCTATCTGTAGTCATCAAACTCTATAACTCCTCCCTATAAGTGGCTGACACACAGGCCCTTAGTTGTTATACTGGACATTATCACCTGTTTTGTGCAATATTATCTGTTTAATAATGAATGTCCAATATTCTCCGCTGGATTCTGCTGCTATTTATTCAGTATTACTGTTCACCATAATTCTTTAATACCATAATTATTTTTTAATATAAATATTGTAAATACCCACACTCCTTTATATCTTATACACTGCTCTAAAATAACACATCCTAGATCTGAATGAATGAAATCTCATTAAATCCTCCTTTCTTTACATAGTTGAATGTGCTGACAACAAAATCACACAAATTGTCAATGGAAATCGAATTTATCAACCCTTGGAGGTCTGGATTTGGAGTTGCACTCAAAATCAAAGTGGAAAACCACACTACAGGCCGATCCAACTTTGATGTAATGTCCTTAAAACAAGTCAAAATGAGGCTCAGTAGTGTGTGTGGCCTCCACGTGCCTGTATGAACTCCCTACATTGCCTGGGCATGGTCCTGATGAGGTGGCGGATGGTCTCCTGAGGGATCTCCTCCCAGACCTGGTCTAAAGCATCCGCCAACTCCTGGAAACTCTGTGGTGCAACGTGGCGTTGGTGGATGGAGCAAGACATGATGTCCCAGATGTGCTCAATTGGATTCAGGTCTGGGGAACGGGCGGGCCAGTCCATAGCATTAATGCCTTCCTCTTGCAGGAACTGCTGACACACTCCAGTCACATGAGGTCTAGCATTGTCTTGCATTAGGAGGAACCCAGGGCCAACCGCACCAGCATATGGTCTCACAAGGGGTCTGAGGATCTCATCACGGTACCTAATAGCAGTCAGGCTACCTCTGGCGAGCACATGGAGGGTTGTGCGGCCCCCTAAAGAAATGCCACCCCACACCATTACTGACCCACCTCCAACCCCCGTCAAGCTGGAGGATGTTGCAGGCAGCAGAACGTTCTCCACGGCGTCTCCAGACTCTGTCACGTCTGTCATGTGCTCAGTGAGAACCTGCTTTCATCTGTGAAGAGCACAGGGCGCCAGTGGTGAATTTGCCAATCTTGGTGTTCTCTGGCAAATGCCAAACGTCCTGCATGGTGTTGGGCTGTAAGCACAACCCCCACCTGTGGACGTCGGGCCCTCATACCACCCTCATGGAGTCTGTTTCTGACCGTTTGAGCAGACACATGCACATTTGTGGCCTACTGGAGGTCATTTTGCAGGACTCTGGCAGTGCTCCTCCTGCTCCTCCTTGCACAAAGGCGGAGGTAGCGGTCCTGCTGCTGGGTTGTTGCCCTCCTACGGCCTCTTCCACGTCTCCTGATGTACTGGCCTGTCTCCTGGTAGCCCCTCCATGCCCTGGACACTACGCTGACAGACACAGCAAACCTTCTTGCCACAGCTCGCATTGATGTGCCATCCTGGATGAGCTGCACTACCTGAGCCACTTGTGTGGGTTGTAGACTCCGTCTCATGCTACCACTAGAGTGAAAGCACCGCCAGCATTCAAAAGTGACCAAAACATCAGCCAGGAAGCATAGGAACTGAGAAGTGGTCTGTGGTCACCACCTGCAGAACCACTCCTTTATTGGGGGTGTCTTGCTAATTGATTGTCAATCAGTGTTGCTTCCTAAGTGGACAGTTTGATTTCACAGGAGTGTGATTGACTTGGAGTTACATTGTGTTGTTTAAGTGTTCCCTTTATTTTCTGAGCAGTGTATTTATACTCTCATATTTATATACTCTTTATTATACCTACTTTCTATTATAGGGGGCGGCTATGGCTCAGGAGGTAGAGCGGGTTGGCTGTTAATTGGAAGGTTGGCGGTTCAACCTGGCTCCCCCAAGCTGCATGTCGAAGAAGTTGGGCAAGATACTGAACCCTGAATTGCTCCTGGTGGCTGTTCCACCAGTGTATGAATGTGTGTGAATGTTAGTTTCTGTTTGAGCACTTGAATGGTGGATGTAGTGTAAAAGTGCTTCGAGTGGTTGAAAAGACTAGAAAGGTGCTATACAAATACAGATCATTTACATTTATTATTTTTCTATTTCTGATGCCTTGATAAGTGTGCAACTGTGACAAAAGAATTTCCCCTCTGGGATCAATAAAGTATTTCTGATTCTGATCTCAGCACAGCTTTATGGAGCTAGACACTATATCAATCTAACATCACTTTAGGATTCAGGCAGCAATGCCCCAAGATGCAGAAAAGTCAAGGCTTTTGAAGACTTTCTGTAGGTGTGTAGTTTATTCTACTTCAAATAAGATTCTTTAACAGTTGGTTAACAAACCACAGTAGTAGTAGTAGTTCTGAGTGAGTGAACATTGAATACTATCCAGACAGGATCTGCAGACTGGAGTTCCTCCGGCCTAATTTGTGTGGAGAATTAAATTGAAGAATTAATGTGACTGGGAGAGAACACAAGGGAATTTTTCAAAGGGAGGACGCTGTTTGAGAAAGCCTTTAACTCTTCATATTCCACATAACTAAAACTCTTAATTTAACTGATAGGATTAAAACCATAATCAAGAAGAAAACATTTGCATTTGGATTCAAGAATATTTAAAATCCTTCTGGTGGTAATTCTGAACTCTTACACTATGCACATATGAACTACATAAATAAATATATTAAGTGTCTGGGAACTAAAATCCATCCACCCTGGACGGGTCGCCAATCCATCGCAGGGCCACACATAGACAGACAACCACTCACACTCACATCGACACCTAAGGACAATTTGGGAAACACCAATTAACCTAGCCTGCATGTCTTTGGAGGGTGGGAGGAAGCCGGAGCATGAAGGGATTTGGAGTGTGCAAAACACTGTACTGACCACCTTATGACACCACCTGTCACCAGCAGTGTCACTTAAAGAAACAAAACACAATCTTCAGGGGATTGAGTTCACTGCTATTGATTGAATTTTCCCTCATAATTATAAATCTATAATTTTTTATTCCAGCTCATTCATATTTAGAGTCACAGAGACTGGACAGTGCTAACACACAGACAAACAGTCAGACTGGACTGGAAACCTGAATAAACACGACGAACACAAGCACAGATGACACAGACCCAGTGGTCTTCTAGATTAAATTCCACTACTTTGCAGGAAGATAGCCACTACAGTAAAAAAAATCTATAAATATAATATGTGCAAAGAGATGGTAAGTAAAATCTATAGTATGGATGTAGATAGTTGAGGCAGTTGTCTGAAGTTTAGCGGGCTTGTTGCCGGTTTGAGCCGTGATTCGGCAGGTTATATCTTACTCTTTGCTCATTGCCACTAAAATCCCATGTTCCAGAAAAAGAAAGCATTGCTTTCAGTGAAACCTTCCTGGATAAATAAATATTTTGGCAAAAAAAGCCCTTTTTGTCATCAGTCACACTTGTTCCATTCCTATTAAGGGTAGAGTACCGGCATGCCAGTGAGCTAACAGGCTCATTACCAGGGCTAATATACCAAGGTCCCAACAAACACAGCACAGTCTATTCTCTCAACAGGTCAGACACAGACGTCCTGTACCTATGGTTTTGTGCAACCTAAAAGTAAAAGATAGTGATAGTTATGAAAGAGGAAGAATTGCACAAAAACAGCCCTGGTCTTATTTATCAAGCAGCAAGGTAGATTAGGCTAAAAACTGTATCATATTGACATACCACCTCTCAATAATAGACTCTATAATATATAAAACTGTCAACCACATGATAATGGGCCAGTGTCAGTCTTTCTTTTATTCTGTTTTCAGTGATATAACATGCTGCATTTTGTAATGTTTGGATATCAGAAATCCATCTTTCTCTATTTCTCCTCTACACACTGATAGTGAACAGGGTATCAAATATGTGAATGGTAAGCATGCTTCACATGAAGATGAAATCCTGGGGGATTCTTCTGCAAGCACCTGCTCCTGCTTAGGTAAACAGCAGTGAATCCAGAACAGTGGATATAGCCACTGAGCCACAACCAGAACAAAAAAACCCCTCTAAACATATTATATACAAAGATTTTTGACATATCAAAGTACAAAAAAACAACCTTTTTGACCACAATTAACAAGTGGAGTTAGTTATGGCTATGTGTAGCCTTATTGTTATCTTCTATGTCAGACCATTATAGATTGAATGTGATGTGGTTATAGTTCATTGGCTGTCCTGTAGTCTGCTCAATTCTGCATCATTGTGCTGAAGAAATAGAAAAGAAAAGATTCATCAGTTTGAGCTTTACGTCATAATCAAACTCTACTTATATTTTGTGTAGTCACTCTATTCTCTTCTCTCAAACTAATCAGCACATAAATGTAAACTGACATACACATTTTTTTGTTTGATCTCATATTCGTTTTGGAAATGACAGTAAATGGAGGGGATGAAAGAGAGCTGTCAAGTCTGTGACACATGGGATGCAGCAGCAGCCAAAAACCACATTTCTTGCTCCGTGCCAGCATGCCCATACTAAAGCCTCTATTTCACAGATGCGATGCTGCCAACAACATTTATTATCACCTTGGCCGCCACAGTTTTGCTGTGGTAATGATTCATTAATGGACTCATACCAGTACATTATAAAGCCACTAGATATGGTAGACAGTAGATACGTATCAGAAATAAATGGTGAATGCATTGCATGGTGTGTTTTGATTTTCTTGAGTTGATGTTTGTGACTGAGTGAACTGAAGTGTATGAATAGCAGCCATGATAAAAACTAGTTAAATTCTAAAAGAAAAGAAAAACTGCTTCACTATTAGTGTTTCCTCTCATTTATCAATTCTGTGAATTTTAATAAAACAGATTTGGATTTGATAATAGATGTATTATATCTAAAAAAGTATCTAAGTATCTATAACCAACAGAAACAATTCACTTAGTTGTTCATACAGCTCCACAGGGAAACTACAGTTTACCCATGCTGAGTCTCTTCTCAACCAGAGTCACTGTCAAATAATACTTTTGTTTATTAGTTCAGTAATAATATTTGTTTATTTGTAATTAAACCTAAATATACTGCTGGAAATCCAGCCTGTATCTCTTTAGTGAGTATCTGACTCTTAAATATTGTTCCCAACAAATGTAATGCTGATTTCATAGGTAATACAAGATAAGTGGTCCTGATCCGCACAGTTTTTGAACTATCTTGCAGTCATGGTTCACCCAAAGCATAATGAGATAAAACAACCAATCAGCAACACAGGTGTATAAAGAGATGGCAACCGACATGACAGCACACAACAAAAGATGTTGTATGTCACGCCACCCCTTTAATTTGCTTCTATCTTCCTTTTCAACAAGCATCAGTTCTGCCAAAACTGCGTTCTATAATGACAGAATTAGCAATGCCACCGACTCACTTATTTTCCACTTTTAAATCGCCACTAAATCCTCCTCCACCTCCACCTCCCACAAACCTGTCTGCAGATACCTTTGCTGCCTTCTTCACAGGCAAAGTGGCGGCTATAACTAGCCAATTCTCTACTATGAACTCTATCTATCACTTACAATCAACCGGTCTATTCCCGCTCCGGTCAGCTCTCACTCTGTGAACACAGCACAAGAAAACCTACCATGTAGCAGTCCTTATACATATCTCCCTCCATCTCCCTCGGGAAATGCCGCAAAAGGCTCAACACAAAGGCTAACATGTAGCAGTCCTACTACATCGTTTCCTCTGTCTTCCCAGGTCAATGGCACTTCACTCTCCTCGTTTACTCCTCTCACAGAGAGCGAAACATCAGAATTCCTGACCAGTAGCCATCCCACTACATGCCCACTGGACCCGCTTCCTACGAATCTCCTCCAAGCCATATCTCCTACCATTATCCCGGCAATCACTCGTGATAAATACTTCTCTGGCCTCAGGAACCTTCCCAACCACTTTCAAAAGGGCTCTGGTTACATCCTTGCTCAAAAAGCCCTCACTTGACCCAACTCAAGTTGAAAACTATCGGCCAGTTTCACTTCTACCATTTCTATCCAAAACTATTGAACGGGCAGTCTTCAAACAGGTCTCTGAATTCCTCTCACGGAATGACAGTCAGGTTTTAAGAGTGGACATTCTACTGAAATGGCTCTTTTGTCTGTAATAGAAGCCCTAAGGCCAGCTAAAGCTGCAGCCGAATCCTCGGTTTTTATCCTGCTTGACCTATCAGCTGCCTTTGACACAGTCAACCACAGGATCCTGCTATCCGCACTCTCAGCAATGAGAATCTCAAGTAAAGCACTCCGGTGGTTTGAATCCTACCTCTCGGGGCGTTCCTACAATGTTTTGTGGCAAGGACAAGTATCCTCCTCCCACTGCCTCTCCACAGGGGTGCCCCAAGGCTCGGTGCTAGGGCAATTGACACCACCTCTCTGGGGCCGATCATTTGCTTGCATGACTTCTCTTACCACTGCTACGCAGATGATAAGCAACTCTACCTATACTTCCTGTCTGACGACCCCACTGTCTCGGCGCGGATCATGGACTGTCTCTCGGACATATCTGCATGGATGAAGGCTTGCCACCTTCAACTAAACCTCTCTAAGACTGAACTCTTGGTCATTCCAGCCAAGCAATCTAATCACCATAACGTCAAACTACAAATTGACTCCTCAACCATCACTCCAACCAGGGTGGTGAGAAACTTGGGTGTCATGATTGATGACCAGCTGTCCTTTTCAAACCATGTTGCTGCTGTCTCTCGGTCATGCCACTTTGCTCTCTTCAACATAAGGAAAATCAGGCCCTACCTCACTCAGTACGCCACCCAGCTTCTGGTACAGGCCATGGTTATCTCTCACTTCGACTATTGCAATGCCCTCCTAGCAAGTCTTCCAGCTAGTGCGATGAAAGCCCTACAAATGGTTCAGAACGCAGCAGCGTGCCTGGTTTTTTGATAAGCCCAAACGGACTCATGTCACTCCGTCACTGCGTGACCTCCACTGGCTATCCATGGCTTCCCGAATCAAATTCAAGTCTCTAATGCTTGCATATACAGTAGAGTGACTACTGGGTCTGCACCAATCTATCTAAATTCCATAATACAAGTTTACATTCCTTCTTGGCCACTATGCTCCTCCAACGAATGCCGCCTGGCTCTAACATCCCTACACACAAAGCAATCTCAGTCCCTGCTGTTCCACCACGATGGTGGAAAGAACTACCACACGCCATCAGAGCAGTGGCGTCCCTCTCAAACTTCAAGAAGTTCTTGAAAACTCATCTCTTCTGAGAACACTTTCTCTTATAACACCTCTAACTCCTAACCTCTAACATGTACTTCATGTGCTCTTCTTCTCCTATCCTCTTACAATTATCTTGTATTGATTGTACTTTTTTGTTAACTCTTACTTCTTTCCCTAGGTATTTAACCCCTTGATGCGATATACGCTATTAGCTCTTACTAGTATGTATTGTCATTTGTGGATTTTGTGCTGCATTTGATGCGTTGTTGATGCTTGTATGTTGTTCCTCAAATGGAAGTCTCTTTGGATAAAAGCGTCTGCCAAATGAATAAATGTAAATGTAATTTGGAACAAAACAGGATATCATGGCTGCTTTTTTTTTAAGCAAATAGCTAAAAAATGGTAAATGACTACATTTATACAGCGCTTTCATCTAAGCCAGGAATTGATGCAGGAAATCCAAAATGGCTGACTTCCTGTTGGGTAAACTATGTTTGCCATACACACACACGCATGCACACACGCACACTAATGGCAGTGAGCTACCATGCAGGGTGCTGGCCAACCAACGGGAACAATTTTGGGCCTTGCTTCTTGGCTGTTTGACAAAACTCCACTACTTCACTCTATAATACATACTACACATGTGGATTCAAAGGATAAAAAGGACTAACAGAAATTTTTGTTGTAGTAAAGACTTGTGTGTGCAAAGGTGATATTACTGTACAACACGAAAAAAAATCTTCTGAAATTAATCAAAAACAGCTCCCCAAGCAGTGGAGCTGTACTGACAAAATGTTGCAGACATTCAAGTGAATTAACACAAAAAGACAGTCCCTGAGTGAATGCTTGCCTGGATGTCTTTGAGAAAATTAAAAGGATAAATAACTTCCAAATCCACACTTCCTTGTGTTTGATTATTCTAAATGGGTTTGAGGACCATACATCCTCATTGCTTCTTAAATTCACCAGAATAAAGATGTAATTATTTTAAAAGCTTGTCTTGGGACTGCACTACCATTTTGCCATGTTTATTTCTCAAGGATAGAGTGGTGTACACAAGAAAATTTCAAAACAACAATATTCCATAGGAAGACATTTTGTATAACAATCTGTGCAACCTCTGAGATTTGCTAAACTCATTACATCAATGTATCCTATTTCTAGCGAAATCATTTCTTTACCAATGGATCCTCTGGATGTTTTGTGATTGCCAAGGTCCCAACAAAAGCACAGTCTGTTCTCTCGACAGGTCAGAGACAGACATCCTGTACCTGTGGTTTTGTGCAACCTAAAAGTAAAAGATAGTGATAGTTATGAAAGAGGAAGAATTGCAAAAAAACAACAACCCTGGTCTTATTTATCAAGCAGCAAAGTAGATTTGGCTAAAAACCTAATCATACTGACATACTACCTCTTAATAATGGACTCCATAATATATAAAACTGTCAACCACATGATAATGGGCCAGTGTCAGTCTTTCTTTTATTCTGTTTTCAGTGATATAACATGCTGCATTTTGTAATGTTTGGATACCAGAAATATTTCTCTATTTCTCCTCTACACACTGATAGTGAACAGGGCACCAATATGTGAATGGTAAGCAAGCTTCACATGAAGATGAAATCCTGGGGGATTCTTCTGCAAGTACCTGCTCCTACTTAGATAAACAGCAGTGAATCCAGAACAGGAGGGGATGTGGATTGAGGGGGAGGGGATGAAGAATAGGGATGGATGTATGCTCTCCATGAGTGTAGTGATCTATATTTAACAATGGCAGTTTGTTGGATATCTGTAAAATATATAGGAAAATCAGATCTTTGAATATTTTTAATGTGCCCTGAATGGCTGCACTGTGGAGCCAATTAAATGATATTGTTTGTTCAGAGATTTGTGGTCCCTAGAGGAGGAATCCTGCTGACTTTTCCTCTTGTGCCACCAGTAGGTTGACATTTATGACTTTCAGTGAAATGTTTCAACAAATATTGTATGGATTTCCATTAAAATATTTACAGACCCTCATGATTTCCAAAGGGATGAACCCTAATGACTTTGGTAATCCTTTGACCTTTATTCTAGTGCCACCAGCAGGTCAGCTTTTTCTTCTATGAAATATCTAAATATCTACTTGAGGATGGACAAAAAATTGCATTCAGACATTTATGGTACCCAGAGGATAAGTCCTACTGACTTCTTCATGAGGTTCACCTTTGTGGTTTAGAGTGAAATGTCAACTAAACAACTATTGGGTGTATTTCAATTAAATTTGATACAGAGAGTCACGTCCTCCTCAGGTTGATTTGTCTCTTTGGCACTATTTCATCTAATCTCTATAAAGAGATATCTGCATATGAATGCAGGATCTATAGCCAAATAAGGGACAATATTTTGGTATCGGGAGTGTTCTGGTTTCCGTTTGTAGTCCGAGAATTGACCAATCGCATTTGATCAGGCTGTAGTTGCATGCAGGTAAACAGTTTATGGTGGAGAACAAAAGCTTGGCGGCTATCGTCTGATGAAAATTTCCTATTAATTCCATGTCAATCTAATTTTAAATACATCTGCATTCAAATCGTCATTAGAAGATCGCCAGGGGTGGTGATGAGTTTGAGATTACCAATCGACCCGTATATAATAACTGCCCCATGGAAGAGGATCCGAGATTGCATTTCGTCTTGCATCATCAGATCCATGCTAACTCGCTGAACTCAGATGGTGAACATAGTAAACATTATACCTTCTTCACATCAGCATGGTCAATGTGCGCATGTTAACATGCTGACATTGATGTTTAGCTCAAAGCAACAGTGTACAACATCACAAAGCTGCTAGCATGCATGTAGACTGTTACACGACACTGTTAACTATCAAGTTTTCAAAAATAGAGGAATTATTTTTTTTAAATGCATGAAATCTGATTATAAAAATGTTCCTATTAAAGTGCTGGCTCACTCACAGTGGCTCTGTTTTGTGAAGCAACAGTGGAGAGACAGGAACCCTGTACAGAAGCATCTTGATCTTACTGTGCTCTTTGTCTGATATTTTTTTTGGACTCCAAGTCAGTTTTCAGTGTTGGCATGAACAACACAGCTATAGTTTCTGCTGGATTTACCCTCTAACAGTAGTACTCTATTTTCCTCCAAGTTGCTCTAACTGAGTGATGGATAGTCGTCTTATCTATCTACCACCTCAATAATTAAAGATACGTGTTGTGAACCAGAATGTGTGGTTAGGTTATTCGGCATTCAATAAGACCCTCATGACCACTCCCTAGACCTGCAACCCCCTAGCTGACTTGAGCAGATCAGCAAACTACCTCGAAATTAACTGCATCTATTCTGCTTCTAATTATTATGACACACAGGAATTTAACTTTAATGTATTTGACTAATTTTGATGTTCTGCAGCTCTTAAAACTGTATTATAATGCAAATCATATTTCTAAAATACTCTATGTGCAGATATCAATGACATCTTTTCCATTATTCCAATACTAGTGACAATAAATCAACTCTGATGGCACCACCTGGAATAATCTTTGAGAAGCTAGGTAATTTGGACGAAAAGCTATCTGGCAACACCATATTATCAGGTAATAAAGCAAATGACATTTCTCCTTACGAGACTGCAGATGAAGGCTGAAGATGGCTATTCTCACGGTCTGGTGCTGAAGACTCGGGTAGTAGAGGAACAATCTTCTGTTCATTCTGTAGTCTTTCAACTGTGTTTTTGTTTTCTCCAGCAAGATTTCATCTGTGGAAGCTACAATCTGATTTTCTGTTAGCATGATCAATAAAGTGATTTTACCCAACAGACATGCTCATTATTAAGCGTGACAGCGGTCCTGAGGCTGGACATAAAAAGTTGACTGTGTGTGCATTACATTGATTCTGCTTTTGACCTTTTTACATGGTCTTAAAAACGTGAGAAACCATTCTGTATCTGACACTTACTTTATCACTTACTTTATGTGCAGAGCTGCCTGTGAACTAGGTGTGTGTGTGTGTGTGTGTGTGTGTGTGCCTTTCCCAGGGAACAATGCTACAAACACAGTAAAGATACAATATACATAGTATTTATGTATACTGTATAGTTCATAATGGACTTATCACATTGAATTTACATTTACATACATAAATTAGTACTGGATTTACTGTAATTGGATTACAAAACCTGTGTGTTTTGATTTCCTACCCACTGTGTTCCAGTGAAATAGTTAATTGTTCCCCTCAGGATGAATCCTAAGAATGTTGGTGACACCACGAGATCAGAGTTTTATTTTGTACAATACTTTGGTTTATGACTAAACTATGCATTTAGTCCTAATTGGCAATTGTTAGCATGCTAGCATGCTTTATTGCCAAGTAGTGTTTTACACATACGAGGAATTTGCTGTGGTGATAAGGTGCTACACGCAGACAAACAAACAGTCAACATAAATAAATGTAGAAATATATAAATATGGAATAGAAGAACAACGTTGCAGATATATACATGTGCATTATTCTGGGTCTGTGCTGTGCAGAAGTAACGCAACTAGCTACATGGTATAAACATTGCACCTGCTAAATTCAATTCAATTCAATTCAATTCAAATGTATTTACATAGCACCAATTCATAACAGCAGTTACCTCATTACACTTTTCAAAAAGGGTAGTACTCACGCCAGTAACCTTTTACACGAGAGGAGTTTGATAGCTGAAAGCTCTGGCGCACGTTTGTCTTTTGGAGACTCTAGGAACCACAAGTAACTCTGCATTCTGTTAGCGCAGTGTAGCGTAATAAGGTACAATAAACTCTTTAAGATATGATGGTGGCTGACCATTAAGAGCTTTATACATGAAGAGAAAGATTTTAAATTCTATTCTGGATTTTTAAATGACCCCATTAGCATTTTCATTGCAAGCATGTTAGCATGCTGACTTAGCCTTTATCTTAAAGCACAGAGTCACAGAACCATTTGCATGTAAACCAGTGGGCAAGAGGAAGCTGCACTTGAGGACTTGGCTTGGGTGGTAAACTATTGTTGTGGACTGGTAAAGTCATTGAGTGCTAGATTTTCTGAAGCATCTATTTTACAGGCACACATGTGAAGCATTCTACCTCAAACGCTTGTTGTATTTATATAGTAAACGTCTAACATGGTTAATAATGCTTCCACTTGCCAGTTACCAGAAGTGTATATTTGTGCACTTGGTTTAGTGTTCTGCCACTTTAAAAGAAGCATGCAGTGGTCCTTAAGGGGAATGATGAACATTACGTTCTTTCCAGTTTAACTTACCCATGTAAGTGGTAAGTCATGTTTTATAACATTGTACAGATTATTTCAAGAGATTGTTCATTTTTGTTCTTTAAATTGATGTAAATTGTATTGTATTATATTGTACTGTTTGTCCATTATCAGAATCTCAACTGGGAATACTAGCCTGTGGTGCTTGTACATATAACACAACGCAAAGGAGGTCGTGTTACAGACGCCCTGGAGTTGCAGTTTGCAAATCATTTGTGCCAGTGTTGGCAAATAATAGGAGGAGACGTGTTAACAGAGGATTTACTGAGGTCATGCATTTGTGAGTGTCACTTTTACGGGCAGGAGGAGGAGTAAACACAGGTGGGATTTACAAGAGACACACGTTTTTAATGAAAACAATATTTGATTACTGTAACAGTAACTAGAAGAGGACAGGGAATGTGGCTTGTGTTTATCAAACTTGAATTTGAACTTCCACATCCAAGAAACTCAGTAATTTGTTAAAAACCTGTTGTTGTTGAAGTCAGCTTTTTAGGCTGCTAATAAACTGCATTTTTTGAGAGAAGTACAGCTGCAGAGAAACAAATTATTGCCATAACTATAATAGACAGACCTTTCAGCCACAATTTTCACTCAGTGGCTCATTGTCATTCACTGCATGTTACTCACAGGGTTTGACGCACACATGGATGACGTCACATAATAAACATTTCTCTGAATAAATAAACATCTCTCTAAATAAATAAAGATAAAGTCACCAGTTGTGCAGAAAGGACAATCACAAAGGAGATTTTGACTTAAGCCAGCCAGTATTTTCATCTGTTTTGTGAATTGAGCTCTGAACTGGCCATACAACGGGGTATTAAGTATAAGACAGGCATGTTCAATTCTTATCTGTTTTCATATTAAATGTTTGGAGCAATTCACACCTATTAGTGCTGAAGTAGTGCTGCAAACAATGTTTTTTCTCCTGGTTTTTCTCATTACATTCCCCTTTTTCAAAAATATACACTCACTCACACTTGAATTTTGCCTTATTCACCCTTACAAATGAATGTATCATCTCACTCACAAACTATACCAAAACACATATGAGCCATATTTTATGACTTAGATCATTTGTGAAGAGATGGCCAATGACGTATTGCATGTGCAAATACAAGCACCTTACTTTTGTAACTATTTCAACTTTCACAATATTTCACACACAAGGTCTCTATTGCAATTACACACACAACATATTTTTTTTATCACAGTTTTCTCTTGAGTGGAGTGAACCAGGCAGGGTCGGCCTTTAGAAACGGAAGATTATTTAACTGTAGAGCAGTAGTGACCTCTACTAGCACAGAGAGAATAGTCATCTCAAGGTATGTCCTTATGGGTGCTAAGTGTACAAATGTTGTAATTTAAGTGACCAAACAATGCTGTGCATTCACAAATTTCAAAAATACTAAGTACTAAAAGCATACTGTACATACTCTTCACTGATCTAAACCACTGTTCTCTCCTGTGTGTTCTTGTTTAACTGTTCTTGTTTAAAGTTAACTGTAGCTTTTTGCACAAAATTGCTGAGAAGAAAAACATGGTATTTTGAAGAAGGACATCCTTGTCAATGTTGTAGACCAGAATCCTACAGCTTATTTTAGAGTTTACTTTTACACAGCACCTTTAAATGTCATATCCAACCAGAAAACACAACAAATGAAATGAGCTACAGCTCATTATCTGTTTGTACAAAGTACTGGGTTTGACTTTCTAATTTACTTCTTTGTACAATCCTAAAGTTGCAGAGGTAAGTTCAGATTTAAAAAAAACAAATGATATGGTGAAACCCTGCGATGGACTGGCGACCTGTCCAGGGTGTACCCTGCCTTTCACCCGATGTCAGCTGGGATTGGCTCCAGCCCCCCGCGACCCTGTATGCAGGATAAGCAGTTGACGATGGATGGATGGATGGATGGATGATATGGTGAAATGATTTTATTGTCTCTTCTACCAACTACTACACTGTAGAAACTGGCCATGAGATTACAGTATGATGCACCGTCAATAAAGGTTGCAGTATAAAAATCAATTTACCATTTCAGTACCTTGAAATCTGAAAATGACACATTGCATTCATTTAAGGTCAGTGGGGAGCTTCAAAAAAAGCTGATATGCTGCTGAGCAGCAAGGCTACCAACGGATTGTGTTGCTTTGTGTACTATAAGTTGCAACCACAGGCAAAACAGTAAAGGTCAAATCAATGGGTTCAGCTTTTCTGGCAGTTTAACAGCATAACATTTTGCATTGTGGAAAACGAAATATTTAACATGACTCCAACAGACAGACACACTTTCATTCATACATTAATTTAGTTCAAAGCTAGTATTGTCTAATGCTCGATGCACAGCAGTACCAAAGCAGGATTTTCCCTCTTTGGCGGGTCACTTTTTCAACGCCTGACAGCCCTTTTTCAAGGTGACATGCAGAATGAGACCCCTGTTGCATAAGATCGACTACAGAGAGGTACACTAGCTGAATTCAATGGAAATTCTCTGACAAATACTAATGTAAAAAGATCTTTAGTGATATTCAATATCCAGGCATTTTAAATGAAAGGGGAATAGCTGTTATGCAAGGCTTAAATTTTAGCCTCAGTGTAGGTATTTTTGTGCAAGGGAGTGGAGCAGAGGCAATGACATATAAACATTGTGTAACAGGGTCAATATGTGCTGCTTAAATTACCCAGGATTTTTTTTTTAGGAATGTGGAGCACCAGATTGCTATCTTGGTCCACACACAACATTTAGGAATGCAGGATGTTTCTCTGCAAATCCCTGAGAAAGGCTTGTTTTAATTGACTGAACTCACCTCTGGTATTTCTTCTTGTAAAGTGTTCATGAAACATAAAGGGAACCCCACACATGCTGTCGCCATTTTCAGCGAAACCATAAAAGATTGGGTTGGAGTCCCTTTTCAGATTAAAGCATATAATCCAAGAATGGGAGGATTATACAGCCGCAGAGCCATATGAATATTTTGTATATGGAATTGTTCAGTCAAATCTGAATATGATTTCTTCTGTCTTTGATTTGCACTGCATGCAAATGTAAGCAGTCCACTTACAGTATGTGCTCCATTCAGTTTCTGCACTTATCTCTGCACACAGCATGGGATGGTCTATCTTATTTGAGTCTGGAGGGAGTACACATTGGTGTGTAGGCACAATGAGGATATATCTTAGACACCACTTTAATAACATCCAACCTGTCAGGATGGTTTTGTCTGTGCTGGCAGGGCCCTGTTAGTCAGTTAGACAGACTGTCAAGACAGAAGTTGAGTTTTCACACAATCGCCTATCAAACCGCCCCGCTATACTATCTCCCAAACATCATACTTCAATCCTCACTGGTAGATTTAGATAGCGTTGCTTCCCACACACACAAGCAAACATGGACAGACAGATCAAATCAATGGCTACTTTCCTCCATTTCAGGAAGTGCTGTACAGTAGGTGGCCAATGGAGGAGTCAACCCACTCACAGGATATTCGATTGCAAGCATGTACAAATTCATCCTCTCTCTCTCTCACTCATGCTCGCATTGGATCAACTACATTTGCACATGCACCTTTGGGCAAGTACTGCTTGTGTGTGCACACCCACACATGTAGACCAAACATAGAAATACACACAGAAACACTCGGCCTCTGTCACAGAAAAACATCTCATGATTTGAGCCACACAGAAATACTCTAAAAGTAGCTGGATTTATGAATGAAGTAAAATAAAATGGCTCAGAGTGCGTTAGGTTACACTTTAAAAATGTAAAAATTTTGGCTAATGGAGCAAAATTTTAAGATTTTAGGGAAGAAATAAGTGGATGTGGTATAGGCATCCTGAAACTCTTTACACTTTAGTAGACCTACAATATGTAGCAGCTACATCTGTAACTGTCTGGTGCTTCAACATAACTTTCAAAATGAGGAGTCCATCCCCTTCTCTAGGCTTTGTGTTAGACATCCCCAAGAGAAATCCGCTCATTAGGACAGCGAGAAACCTATATGTCAAACATAGATAGCTGTCAGTTTTCCTCTGGGGAATCCAGCCATGGTAGCAAAAGAAAAGCTACGTTTCTTAAGGTTATATTATACATGTAAATTTATAGTCATATTTACATCCTGTGTGTGTGCTGAATATCTTTCATAGGAACACTTCCTTGCACACTGATGCAGCTGCTGATATTAAAACATTAATATTATTAGCAATGGATTCATCAGAAAGTGTTGAAAAGGAGGAGTTAAAATATAATTTATTTAACTGGATTCTATGAGAAAAAATATGATATTCACTTCAGTTTTCATTCATCTCACTGTTCTCCACAATGTAAACCAATGTCTGTTTATTCTGGCGATGTACGTTAAGTAATATCCCATTCATTTCCACATAGGCTATTTTTCAAGGTCATGGGATGAATTTTCTATCTTGGGTTGAAATCTTCTTCTTCATATAAATGGGACACTAAGACCTGGAAGACTGTTTGATTGTCTGCTACATTGTCTGTCTGTGGACAAAAATCATAGGCAGTTACTGTCCCTGGGGTATGCAGGAAAGTAGGTGACTGTGCCTGGGAAGAGTGTGTAGGTATGTGCTGTTTAATTAATGGACTGACTGTCACACAGAAGAAGACATCTGAAACAGATGGGTACCTGAGTGGGAAAGGTCAGTGACAATATTTCCTGCCCTTTTTCTTTGCCCTTGAGTCATGTAGTTTTGTTTTGTTTTTTTGAAGGGAGGGACTTTGGCAACTACCACTTAGCAGTACAGACAAAAACGCTTGTCACTGGAACAGGAGGTGGAGGTAAGCCTGACACTGATGGCGTGTGATTGTGGAAATTGGACTATGATTAGTTGTGAGGTGTCAGGCTTCTTAGGCTGGAACAGAGCAGACATCTTCTGTGGGACCTTAATAGTGATGCATTGTTGAATGACTTATTGTTGTTGTTGGTGATGAAACCTGCCGAGGTGTGCTGCTCTGCGAACTTGATGGGCTTGAGGTCGATGGAATGGGTGGATGCAAATACATTTCATAGAGGCAACTGATCATTTGAGCTCATTCTAAGCTACCATCAGTCTGGATGACTTTACTGATGCTGTGACGTCCTACATCAGTTTCTGTGAGAACAGCTGTGTGTACCATCACGGACCAGGGTAAGTTATAACAATGACAAACCTGGTTCACAGCTAAACTCAGACAGCTAAGGCTGGAGAAGGAGAAGGCACTTAGGAGTGGGGACTGGGCCGTGTGCAGGGCATTAAAGTACAGGTTTAGCAAGGACGTGAGAGAAGCTAAACGATTGTACTCAGAGAGACTACAACACCAGTTCTCTGCACTTCTGTGCACTTCTGACGCCACTTCTCTCTGAAGGGGGTTCAGATAGATCACAAACTACAAAACCAAAGCCCCCCACTCTATCAACGACTGTCGCCTGGCAAATGAGCTGAACCAACTCTACTGCCGTTTTGAGAATCAATTCGATACCATCCTCCATGACACGTTTGCTCAGCTTCAGCCCCAATCCACCATTTCACCCTCAACCTCCTCAGAGGGGGCCAGCTCCATCCCACCCCCCCTCTTCATCTCAGAGAGGGATGTCAACAGACTATTCAGGAGGCAGAAACCCCGCAAAACAGCTGGGCCGGACTGTGTCTGTACACCTCCAGGACTCTGAAGCGAGCAGGAAAGATTGCAGCTGACCCCTCCCATCCTGGACACAAACTGTTTCAGACTCTCCCCTCTGGCAGGAGACTGCGGTCCATCAGGACCAAAATCTTTCGCCACAAAAACAGCCTCTTCCCGTCTGCAGCTAGCCTCAATAACAAGACCCAGGTCCCCCGCTGACACTCACCCCTTTCAAATAATGCAAAGGTCTCTCCACATTTTTATATTTTTATATTTTGTCAATTTATATATTTATGTAGACAATATTCTCTTCCGTTGCAATACGCCTGCACAACACCAACCGGAGTAATGCACATGTAAAATATCTGCCACATTGTTCTTTCTCTGACAATAATTGTATTATTTTTCTCTATTCTTTTATTATTCTTATATGACTTGCATTTGTTTATTCCTTATTTATATATTTATGTCAACTGTATGTTTGTCTACGTGTAGCACCTTATCACCAAAGCAAATGTACATGTAGAATACTACTTGGCAATAAAGCTCTTTCTGATTCTGACTCTTCTGATTTGCAACAACAGGACCATTTAGAAAAAACAGTCATTTCAAATGTAATGTAACATGAAAGTAGTTCTGTTTTACAGTATTGTACAATACAACAGTATTTTGTACTACTACTAATGTTTCGGTCATATGAATTATGCATAAGAGATATTTGATAGTCTACATGTAGAGGCCCCACTTTACACTCACATCACGCCATTATTAATTCTAATTAGTGAGACAACCCTAGTGGATGCAATGAAAGCTCTGCATGGCTAACTACTATTAATAAAGCCACAGAGAGAGCATACAGGTCAGCTTCCACATATTATTACAGTGTGGTTTAGCCCTGCACCTATCTCTAATGTGCTAATGGATACAACATCTACCATGTGTAGATTTGGGGGATTCCTGTTGTATAGATTCATAAAAAAAAAAAAAAGGTTTTCGTAGGAAACAAAAACAATGAATTTTGTCTCCCTTATTTTAGAGAGTAATTGCACTAGGAAAATATTGCTTCACAGCTAGTAAACGGGGGAGTGATTACATCGACCAATAATTCTCTTAATTTATTTATGGCATGTGAATATTGTATTAAGATATATTGTTTGATACTTAAGCTATTCCCTGCTACTTTGAGGTAAAGGTGCAACAGAAATATCTATGAAGTTTGTCAAACTCATCATGTGCACATAAAGTTTATCAAACTCATCAGTTCAGCACACATTGGTATGTCATAATTAAATGTAAATTTGCAGCATCTGAAAGTGAGAAAAAATTTAATTGAGCATTGTTTTCACCATTTTGGACTGATGAAAGATTGTATCTGCCATTTCCAATTCATGCTCTGATTTACTTCTTTTGGAAGATTCTTCAAGTCTTCACATTGTGTGAAATATAGCCTAATATCACTCAATTGCCTAAAAATATATATTTTCAAATAGCACTTGTGCAAAATAATTAAAGTAATTTTTATTTGTATTTTGGAGGATTATGTTGTAAAATAATACCTAATAAACGCCAATTAGCCTATATAAATAAATAGCCTAATACAACTTACAATATTACAATTTTGTAAGAAAACTGTGATGCTGTTGCAGTTGATGCTTGGAGAGGTAGACTGTTACCACCCAGTACTAATTGCACCAGGTGTGCCACTGATTGTTGAGGTTAAAGGCTACAAGCAGCTGCAGTGCTGCTTTCTAATACAACCCCGCATTTTGCTTATATCTTTAATTTAATTTCAAACCATTTTTGCCTCACGTATGTTTTGGTTGCACTCATGCCACTGTGAAGGGAAAAAAATGTATTCAACGCCTAACTTTTCGACTCCTGACGACTCCAACCTGTCAGGAGTTGACCCTCAGAGACTGCTGGAGCTCACCCACCGGTCTGTCAAAGTAAGCATAATAATCGTTTTGGGCGCGATGATCACTTTGGGAAATATTGCAGTTCTGCTGGTTATTACTACCTCCGTGGCAGGTTGGTCAAGAAACTCTCGGTACTTTCTCCTCTCTCTCACTGCTGCAGACTCTGCGTTTGGGCTGCTGGTCATGCCCTTGAATCTCTGGGTGAGTCTGCTAAAGGACTACACTGAAGGGCCAGATGCTCTATGTCACGTCGTGGCCTTTTGCAATGCCACCGTCTACTCCACCTGCATGTATACACTGGCCACGATAAGCCTGGAGAGGTACATTGCAGTGTTTTACCCGCTGCAGTACTCATCTCTGATGACAAGAAAAAGGACACTGCTCCTGATTGCCTTCGCCTGGTGTTTCCCCCCCTTTATACTGTCGCCAATATCATTTCCAGATGGCATTATCGAGGTTCATTTTTCTGCTGCCTCGCTGGTCTGCAATCCATCCTACTCGACGAATGTTGGATACTCTCTAAGTTTGACGTGTTTTATATTTTTCCCCTGCTCCATCATCATGACATACGCAAACATGAGAGTGTGGTGCGCTGCCAAGAGACAGAGACTCAAACTGCGCAAATTCGACTGTGCGCGTCGCAGCAGACACAATGTGGCATCCAGAGTGCTCGTGCCTGTGATGGCAGCCTACTACACCTGTTGGACACCCTGCATTGCAGCTATGATCTTTAATGGTAAGCAATGACAAAGTGGGAATACAGCTTGAAAGGGGTGCTGTGGGGGTTTAATCTTTAACCATTATTATTATTATTATTATTTGATTCCCTCACTCTTCTCTTATTCTGTTGATGACACAGATGATGCTTCTAACATACATGCTGCTGATCAATGGAATGAAATAAATGGATGGGTGTAGGCTTTCTTGGACATCTAAAGCTTTACAGACCCCTGTTCCCAAGCATCATTTTAAAAATTCTAATTTACTTGCATAGTTAATAGTGAGAGACGCTAATGAGCATCACTGTTAAGTGGTTACTTACACTCCACCAAATCTATCAATTAATTTTGTTCATAACATTGCTCTCAGGGGAAAGATTCATTTCTTCAAGGGTGTTTTTCATGTTTTATTATCAATGGATTTATTACATTTATGGTTTTAATTACTCAGTTTATATACATGATCATGTTCGTTTAATTTGTGACCCTTTTCATAAAAAAATTCAGCTACTTTAGTCATTCAGAAGCTGCTGTGTTAGCCACAGTTGTCATGCTTTGGATACTCCCTAGCATCATGGTAAAAGTTCAAATTTACTTAGTTTATAGTGAGAGCACCTTGTTTGGCTCTGCATGTAGGCCTACCCAAATAACTGAACTTAGTCACTAAGTGAACATCGTTTTATATGATTTATTTTGGGTCACATGTTTTTAAATCTACAAAGTAAGTCAAATCTCAGTAAGTAAGATAACTCAAAAGTAAGTATTTGATTGTCCAAGATGAATTTGCTTTTAAAAAATGTATATTTATTGGCCTTTTCCCCCTTTACAAATGTCTCCATGAGTTTCTGCTGGAACTGTGCTGAGAGAAATAGCTGTCAAAGTTATTTATGTAATTCTGGGCATCACAATACTGATTCAGGGCCAGTTTTATGACTCATACCTTTTTTGACTTTTTCTCATTTACCCCAACCATGTGCTGTCTTCGAGTAATCAAGACTGAAAGTGGAGTCACAGCTGAATATTTTTAGAAGTGAAGACCTTTTCCAAAGAGGGCCTTAATTCATCTGATATGAAAATCCCTGCAAAATGAAGCTGACAGTCTTAACTGAAACTTCAAAGTGTGCTGCTGTCCAAAACGCTAGTGAGCGTCACTGTTAAAGTGGTTTCATCCACTCCACCAAATCCATCAGTTAATTTTGTACTTTTATATCTAGACTATAAATGTTAAGTAGATGGATTCATATTATTGCTCTTTAGGGAAAGATTCATATCTTCAAGGATGATTTTTCATGTTGTATTTTCATTTGATTTATCAAATCTATGGTTTTAATCAATTTATATACATGATCATTTTTGTTTCATTTGTTAACCTTTTCATAAAAAAGGTCAACCACTTTTTTTCATTCAGAAGTTGCTGTGTTAGCTGTCGTTGTCATGCTGCGGATACTCTCCCCTCTTCAGTCCCCATGTTTTCTGCCCCACAGCAGTCTCAGGTAGCAGCGTACCGGAGTGGATTGAGTTTGTGGTGGTATGGCTGCCAACCTCCAATGGTTTTCTTAACTGCATCTTCTACTTCTGGATAAACCGAAGCTTCCGCAGGAAATTCCACCTCATCCTCCACAGGCTGACTCTGGCCCTCTGCCCTAAACTGGCCAACACCCTCAGGTGCTGCAGCACTTCAAAGACACAGTTTGTGTCAGAAATTCTGGATAATAACAATAGTGTCCACGAGCGTTCTTCCAGTGTGTCCTCTACCTGCACCCTGTTGACCTTGGCTTAGGATGTCTGCATCTGAAGAGCACAACTAGCATAGCAAAGGACCTGGTCAGTGACTTCTGTGCTGTCTTGTATTGTCTGGCTGGGCTAATCAACTGAAGCCAAGTTATTGACATATCCCTACATGAGGTATCAAGGATGAGAAATGGAGCAATGGTTCCCATGGGTTACAATGCAAGTGGGTTAAATGTAAGACAGGCTATGTTGGCAAGTATGAGAAATAACCACTGTATAGTCTACATCATCATAATTTGAGTTACATTGATTATTGTATATTTTTCAAATTTTTATGTTTTATCAATTTTCAGTCTGAAAATAGTGTTCAGTTGACTGGAACACAGATTCCGTTTGTAACTTATTTGGATTTTTTTTTTTTTTTTTACTCCTACACAGTGTTGCCATGTTGATTTACTGTCAGATGCCCTCTTAAATCACTTTTTTAGTTGTTTTATAGTTAGCCATCAACCTCGTCTGTGCCCCAGAAATGCCTACCATTGCTCTGTGTACAGCTAATCAGTCCTTTAAGTGTCAGCTGTTGCGTATTTAGACTTGTACCTAAGGTCAACATATTTCACTTCAAACATTGAGTCAATTAGTCCATCACAAGAAATTGATATTTAGACTTCTCTTCATACTAACCATCGGTGAACATCTGTGAACTAACGTCACTATATGATTACACGCACTTTGAAGGATTGAGGCCATCTACCTCTTCTTCAGTTTTAACTTTGTGTCAAAGACCTTGGCATATAACAGCTGGGTGAAGTTGACCTTTAAATTACGGCATTTCAGTGTATGCAAGGAGAAAAGCAATTAAGCAGCTACACTGTAGAAAGGTCAATCATATTTGGGCTGGCAAGAGATAACTCGGGTAGCTTCTGTTCTGTGGTTTGTTTTGAGATATTAAGCCCATGATCTCCCTCTTAGTAACTTCTACTGCAGTATGGATATAACTTGGCAATGCCCATGTCATCTTTGTCTGGAGTTAATCAAGTGTATAGTTTTCAAAGAAACTGAAATTCAGAAGCATTTTATGCAACTTATTTTAGCCTTTGGGTTGCTGCTTGCTGTCACTAACATTTAAAGTTTGTGTATTGGCAAACGATTGCCCTCCCCAGGAACTCGTATGAATTATTCAAATGTGTTGAGTATCGGTATGTATACATTTTGTTATGTTTCTAACTTCCTAATTTTATAAGAATGAACAAATAATGTTTGATAATGTATTTGGTTTATGGATGATCTATGAAATAAAGCATTAAGCCTTTGAATTGTGTCTTAGGGTTTTGTTAATGATACATTAACAAAACCCTGTGTTCTGCAGCACTCAACGTTACTAAAGAACAAAACAGACCTGTTAACGGAACAGTGAAGAGTAGTTTTTAGCCTATAGCTTAAAAAAGCCTATAGCAGCAGGGACGAGAGAGGTTTTTGTGTCTGTTTGTCCTGCATTTAGGCAGACTGAATCTGCGGCTAGACAGCAACAAAATGAAGCAGCTGTTCAGGGGGTGACTTGGGTCAGCCAGGACTGACTGTGCCTTCTTGAGGGTCCTTGTCTCATATACAGAATTTTGCCACACACCTTAACTATATATTGCAACCTGTTCTTGTTTTTAAGTGTGAGAGACCCAAACCAGCTCACAAAGGGAAAAGAAAGAATAGATTCAAATATAGCCGCAAGCGGCGATTCGCGGGTTCATACCTTTTTTTTCCCCAATATCGGCATCAAAATTATTTCACACATACAGTTCAACATTGTTATTAAACACATCCTGTAAGTTTTGTAAAAAATGGACAACAATTTTCTGATCTATAGCCTGATTTGTATCATTCCACGTCCAGTTACGATGCATCTATAGCGCCTCCTAGTGGTGGATTTGAATGAGACTTTCAGGGTATGTGTGAGGTGCTTATGTAGACATATCCTGAAAGTTCTGTGTCGATTGGACAAACAATATGCATTTTGTAGCTTGTTTTGCCACGCCCTTACAAAGTTCATTGGTCCATATCTTGAAAAGTAATATATAGATATAGATATCGACACGCTTTATACACTTTTAATAGGCTTGATCCAATGATGATTCATTGAAAATTTGGTGGCAATCGAGATATCGATTGGTCCTATGGTCTAGGAGGAGATGTCAAAAATGTGATTTTCAAAAAATTCAAAATGGCGGAATGAACCCTAATAAAACAACAATAAAACATCCTCATAAAAGTCTTATCGACATTAAAATTGCAAAGTTGTTTTATTATGACATTAAGGCATTTTTTCACTGAAAACAGCAATCATATCAGATTATTACATGATTATATGACCAGTAAACTAAACTATACAACGGGAAGTCCCTTGCTGGACAGCGCTATACAGCTGTCACAGTTCATAACTGTACAAACCTTTGGTAGTTTTGAACAAAGTTTGGTATAATCAAAGTCTCAAAAGGTGTATTTTGTTGTGCTAGCATTACAGATGTGTATCTGATATGGTGTGACTATTAAAAGGAAAATATCTCTTATTAGCACTTGTGTGATTAAGCAATTGAGCTCTGATTTTGTCATTTGCCAACAATTGACATTTCATTGGATTTTGGTCATGTTTGCTCTCAGTGTTTAGTTTTTTCAGTTTTACATCTGATGAGTGTCTTATGTTGAAAAATTTGAATTGGATTATGCTAATCACTACTTACCAATGACATGTTAGATAGCAGGTTGAGCCAAGGGATAAAGAATATTATTGACAGTAAAGGCTTCTGAATAATGGAAGGGTGCAAATCTGATTGATTGTGTTCCTGGAGTTCTTCCTGACGAAGGATGAACAAGAGGTCAATAATTTCTTGGTAAAGCAACTACAAGCAGTTTCACAGAACTACACTGCTCAAAAAAATAAAGGGAACACTTAAACAACACAATGTAACTCCAAGTCAATCACACTCCTGTGAAATCAAACTGTCCACTTAGGAAGCAACACTGATTGACAATCAATTTCACATGCTGTTGTGCAAATGGAATAGACAACAGGTGGAAATTATAGGCAATTAGCAAGACACCCCCAATAAAGGAGTGATTCTGCAGGTGGTGACCACAGACCACATCTCAGTTCCTATGCTTCCTGGCTGATGTTTTGGTCATTTTTGAATGCTGGCGGTGCTTTCACTCTAGTGGTAGCATGAGACGGAGTCTACAACCCACACAAGTGGCTCAGGTAGTGCAGCTCATCCAGGATGGCACATCAATGCGAGCTGTGGCAAGAAGGTTTGCTGTGTCTGTCAGCGTACTGTCCAGAGCATGGAGGTGCTACCAGGAGACAGGCCAGTACATCAGGAGACGTGGAAGAGGCCGTAGGAGGGCAACAACCCAGCAGCAGGACCGCTACCTCCACCTTTGTGCAAGGAGGAGCAGGAGGAGCACTGCCAGAGTCCTGCAAAATGACCTCCAGTAGGCCACAAATGTGCATGTATCTGCTCAAACGGTGAGAAACAGAATCCATGAGGGTGGTATGAGGGCCCGACGTCCACAGGTAGGGGTTGTGCTTATAGCCCAACACCGTGACATTTGCCAGAGAACACCAAGATTGGCAAATTCACCACTGGCGCCCTGTGCTCTTCACAGATGACAGCAGGTTCACACTGAGCACGTGTGACAGACGTGACAGAGTCTGGAGACGCCGTGGAGAACGTTCTGCTGCCTGCAACATCCTCCAGCATGACCGGTTTGGCGGTGGGTCAGTAATGGTGTGGGGTGGCATTTCTTTTCATCCGCCACCTCATCAGGACCATGCCCAGGCGTTGAAGGGAGGTCATACAGGCACGTGGAGGCCACACACACTACGGAGCCTCATTTTGACTTGTTTTAAGGACATTACATCAAAGTTGGATCGGCCTGTAGTGTGGTTTTCCACTTTGATTTTGAGTGTGACTCCAAATCCAGACCTCCATGGGTTGATAAATTTGATTTCCATTGATAATTTTTGTGTGATTTTGTTGTCAGCACATTCAACTATGTAAAGAAAGGAGGATTTAATGAGATTATCTCATTCATTCAGATCTAGGATGTGTTATTTTAGTGTTCCCTTCCCTATTTGTTTGAGCAGTGTACTTTAGCAAATAACGAAATAAACAGTGACAGACATCAGCACTTCATTAATCCATGTGAAGTATTGGATTGGTTTGCAAATTACTGAAATTGATGGTGTAATCACATAAATATAAAGTCTAATTTGCAAAGGTATGTCACCTTTGACTTGACATTATTAAACCAGAACCGATATATTAACTTATGATGATGTGGTGTGACGCATGGACCCACGCTCAGAAATGTGGCTTGGAAGGAAAGGATATTACTTGAGGGAAGTCCTTAAAGAAAAGTAGGGAATTTTTATATTGTGAGACATGAGTGTTTTTAAGTGAACCTTTTAGGCAGTTGTCAAAGCTGCAAAACCCTCTTGGGATTCCCACAGCAGACAGAAAACCTGACACTAGTTCTCTATATTTGGGTGTATCTCTGCTACCATAGTTTCCCTGTCAGCCTAAAAGGAAAAACAAGGAATTTGATTTTAACTTAGTCCCATGATGTAACACAAATTATATGGAACATATATTCCATGAATAGGTGACCTTGTCCACTGACTCAAACCACTTGTCAGAGATCATGTTTAAGTGTTTTTCCAGACATTTGAGATTTTTGGTCTCCCAGGACATTGGAGTGTTGTGCATTAGCAGCCGCAGCTCTCCTTGAGGATGACAGTCGGTTCAGTCATGGGGAATGATGATGATCTGAGGGCTTCACGTACTCCCATAGATACAATATGCTGTTACAAATGAGGTCATTATTCTGTCTGGCCATAATTGCTGTCGCAACATCAAGGCTGACATGGATGCTAAATGGTCAGTGGCTTTATATTTGGGTCAAAAACTGAAAAAATATCTACAACTGAGATTCACACAGCTTACTTTGGCTTACTATACGCGTACTAAAACACGTGAGACACTACAATCAAAGGTCTTCCAATGTCAATCTGCAACTGTTATCTGTGTACAGTACTTCTAAACAAGTGCTAAGATGTTTCCGACAAAGGCAGGAGTGCAAAAACAGTCCAGATGTTTTCAATCCCCTATAGTATATTGTCTCTAGATTTTATTTAAAACCGTCTCATTGCACACAGTCTTTATAAGTTTATCACAGTAATGTTGCAGGTTGTTTTTCATCATTGCATAATGTCTTTCCCACCATGTCTGACAGCATTGTGTTTATGATGTTTGCTGCTGTTCTATGGCCATGAAAGCCTGGAGATAAACACTGCTGAATTATGTGCTGAATGTATTAGAGTGGGTGCACAAGTCAGATTATCCATTTTAATTTAGTATGTTTCCACTGTTTCCAGCAAAGGCCAAATGAAACGACTGATGCATAAACATCTTGAGGTTGTAGTGCCACCTTGTGTCTATGCTAAGTATGACAAGACAAGAAAGGACAAGACCTTTCAAACATCAACCCATTTACAATAATTTCTGAATGGCAGTGCTGGTGCTAAATAAAATCAGTTGCTGTCCATTTATTTTACTGAGTGTGTATTTTATTTATTATTCATTATTCAAGGTTTCTCCCTGTTGTTTGTTGGTTGCTAAAATTATGGTCAACTGATGACGAGTAGTAAAAGTATCGTCAAAGTATTTTTTTCAGATGAACTAAAATGCTTTATTCTTTTTAAACAATTTCTCAATTTATGTAACGAGAAAGCAACCAGTTCTTGATATGTCCCACTGGATAAAAAGGATTAATTAATGGGTGTTGATTTGAGCTTACTGTTGTTTGCTGGTCATAGGCACTCTGTGTTGTGAGGGCTCTTGTGAAGGTTGCAGATGGAAAGGCTTTAATTCCAATCACTGGTCTCTCCTCTTCTCCACAGGAAAATGTAGCTGACTCAAGTATTATTCACTTTGTGCGGGTTTAACTCTATCAAATGTTATCTAAGAAAATCAAATAGTATCAAAATAAAAGTATAATCATCTACCTTTATACATTTTTTTTAGATTAAATCACAATGACACAATGATTACATTTTAACAAAAGATGGTCCTTATTTTGTCCATCCTTTAACCTCATGCTGCACCCAGTTGTCATACTTTTTACATTTCAGACCTTCATTCTGCCCTTCCTAGCCGAAATCTTGTAACACATGATTTCAGAGCAGCTCAATAACCACCTCTCCACTCATTACTTGTCTGGGTAACCAACGACCTCCTGATGTCAGCCGATTCTGGAGCCATCAGCATTTTGATTCTCCTGCAGCCTTCCATAGCCGACACGGTCCATACTACTTGATTGCATGGAGAAAATTCTGGGAATGATGTGGTTGACATCCTACCCGAGTGACCACTTTCAAGCCTGTTATCATGGGGGCCAGTCAATCATACTCAGTGCCTTTAACACAAGGAGTCCCACAAGGTTCTATTTTGGGCCCAACTTTTATTCTACATTTACATGCTGACTCTTGAACATATCGTTAGGAAATATGGGCTAAGATTTCACTGATTCAAGATTTCACACAAATTTATATATCTATATATATACCTATTGACAAAAAGAGCACCTATTGATTAAGTAATTAGTCATTAATAATTATGTGCCACTCAGCAGCTGGTTTAAAGTTGATCAGAACTGTAGTCAGAATGGCTCATGACATAGGTGGTCAGTATGTGGATTCACATATATTCAGTAGGTAATCAATACCTGTAGATTTATTAATCTAGTAAATCATCATTATCTACTATATAGTTCTCCATTCAGTTATTCACTAAGCTACCTATTAATGATTCATTTGTTATTAGGTTGTTCCTGATTTGTCCTTAGTAACCATGGTACCCATTTAATACCCAAGTATTTCAAAACAGTTTCATTCAGGCACTCAAATTAAGGATGTTGAGGCCATGACTGTGATGATTTCATTTTTGTGGTGGGCACATTTTCATAAATTCTTTCTGCTTGTAAGCTCAGCTGCATTACTTCCCTCGACCTTGCATAAAAGATGGTTAATAGTGTTTTTATACTGTTCAGTTTGTTATTATATATGATAGTTGCCACAACCAGAATGGATTTCTGTCATGGATATATAGAAATAGCATACATACATCTTAAGTTTTGAGGATTCATTTTATTCTCAGATTTTTAATGACAGGAAATGGCAGCTGAAATGATATTCAAAGAGATGGCAAATACTTAAAAGTCAGCCAACTACTGTAAATGCTGACATCTGAAAGTAATATTGCAGTCACATTTAAAAATAGCAGCAAGTCATATACAGATATTTTGAACAGATGGTATATGGACTTCAAATTGCTATGGTCTTTGTAGTTGGAAAATGTATTTTTGAAGGTAATATGAAATATGCCTCTTTCAGGAAATCCATTAAAGGAGTGATTGCAAAGCTTTCCTAAACCGAAATAAAATTAATAGTGACAAAATCTTAACAGCAACATAGAGAATTCAAAAAGGTTGAATAACTAAACAACATTATGGTGACAAACTCTGGCCTGAAAGACACCAATCTATGGCTCCAATGACAACTAGCAAGCCTGCAAGTGACAAAACAAAAACACCACCAGACTTCATCCAATACAACTCAAACCCTCCAGTGACTGTTGCCAGTACCATTCACCCCAAAAATAAAATTAAGATGCATTACAATGAAACAAAGTTGTGAAAAAGCATCAGTGAGTTGCAAATGGCATAGTGAGGAACAATTAAATAACAAATAATTGTACTCTTCTTTCAAGGGTATTCATTCACTGCCCGCTATTATATCTGGGTAATAAAGTATTAGTATTATTACATACTACATAAACTGATATTACTAAATGGATGCGGTATTTAAAGACATACACAAATACAACTGCATAAAAAAGGGTCAGAACACATTCTACCTTAAATAATCACTGATAAAATATAATAATTCACTACTATTCTCAAAACGAACAGACTCAACAATTTAACACTGCAATTATGTAATTGGAAAACTTATGCATTTACAACCTGGTGATTAATGCAATCAAGTATTGCTTAACACCACAACTGTGCAGTAAGGAGTGAATGGAATAAACTCATGATTCTTAATGAGCCAGGCAACAGTAACATTTCTCACTTATTAAAACTAAGAAAATGCAATGCAAGTTATAATTCAGAGAAAAATGTAGAATGGTCACTGTTAAAATTTACCCTGATTTTATCGACTTTCTTTACTAACGCCTCCTTCACTGTTTCCAGTGTGTCTATCTGTGAAATAATTGTGTATGTATACCAGGCTATTAACAAAATCTTTCTCTGGGCAGGCAAATAGGTTATGAACATACAAACACCAAACTGGGTCAAATGCATATGAAAGTTACAGACAACATATAATGAAAACTGGCATAATGTCAATGCAATACAAAGAAACTGAAGGCAGACAATTTAATAAAGTCTCAGCCCAACTGTCTATTTGGTGCACTTTCTGTAGACGGACAAGGACAAAAGTACTTTATCAAACTGTTCCTCTCCTTTTCTTGTTGCGGAGGATGCACACACTCCTAATTGTGTGTGTCCAGTGTCAGGAGGATTTGGTCAAACATTTCAAGGCCTCCAGATGATAAGAATGAGAAAACAGGATGCCAGCACTCAAGATGACTTGTGTTCAAACATGAAGTAGCGATACATGACACCAACAACAGTTGTAGCAACAGCAAGTATTATCCAAGTGGTCCAGGAGCCGCTGGGAAAAACATTAAATATCAAATAAATGTTTTGATCCAGAGCAGAAACAAAACAACAGAGAAAGGCAACAATAAGATAAAGATATAAATTATATATGGTTCTGGATCATTGCTTTTTTAAAATTTGGTCATTTATCAATGTTTTTATTGATAATTGAAAAGACAAATGGGTGAAAACCATAAATCAATAACACTATATTTAACCTTTCAAAAAAAACAAACAAAAAACTATACAGCAAATGATATGCACTTTCTTCCTGTTTTTCTTTTCACTTTCTATTTCCAGAAGCATTTTCTGAGCTCTTAATATCGCAAGAGAAAACAGTTAACTATGAGGCTGACACACACTGCTCATCATGACGACTCACCTGGATTCTCCTGAATTTGCGTCATGTACCTCCTGAGCAGGAAAACAAGGACAGAAATTAAAAGGAGATACTGTATGATTTAGCAACAAACAAAACACTTTGCATTGTCTTTGTAAATTCTGTTTTAAGACAAGGTCAGATGAACATACAATGGAGCTTACCTTTTCCGCCTCCTTCTTTCTGTCATCCTACAAAGAATATAAATAAAATTAGAATTACTGTCTTCATGTGATGCTGACACAAATTACACTCAAGCCAAGAATTCAATTCAAGTCAGTTTCTCAGGTAGTCCACTGTTGATTAAAACTCAGATGTATTCATATGAATTACCAAGTTAACATCTAACTGTTGAAAAAATCCAAATATAAAGTAGCCTACAAAACATCACTTTTTGCCTTGAACTTTGGAGCATGCACACACACCAACCATTTATTTTTTTGATAGCCACTGTCAACCACTGTCGCAGTGTGATGTTTTTAATTTCATTCAGCAATCAAGATTTGGGAACAATGGGACTGGTAAAACACCAGAAAGCTGATCATCACAAAATGCATGAAGAGCTACAGAAATTAATAGCAGAAGAGAAAGACAACTAGGGCAATTTCCACCCTCCCTGTCAGTTAAAGGATAGGCAATTGTTATTTGCCTGTATGTACATTCAAGTTTTGCTTACTGTAATCACTCCTATTTACACTGGTCCTTCCTAAAGTGCTTTCAGTGTAGGTGATGGGGAACAAAAGTCACAGTCCAAATGTATAACACCATACAAAGTACTTGTTGAGGGTGCTCTGTTGGTTGGCTGAGTTTCAAAAAGCCTTAAAATTTTGCTTTTAGCTGGACGACTTCGGTTTCATCACTTAACAGAATGTGTTGCCTCATGCTCCTTCTTTCATGTGCAATAAATGGATCCTTTTTTCTCAGAGATCTGGTGATAATGAATATTATTAGGTCAGATTTAAGCAATGATAATGATTTGTCAGAAGTTTAACTTCTGTATTTGACAGAGGGATATGGACATCATGTAAAAATACTCCAGGCAGGAAATCAGGTCTTTCAGAGCTAGTAGAGGCTTTATCTTACCATGTGAACCTCCCCAACATAGTACTGCTGGAGCATCTCCCTGGCATCTGTGGAATGACCCACATCCTCAAAGCTCTCTGTGGCATCTGCACCCGCCTGCTCCAGCAAAACCTCCTCACCTCCTGGATGCTGAAAGCATAAAATAGGTTAACACAGAATGTTAGTTTATTTTCCGTGTTTGCCCCACACTCAGTATATTATAGATAATTTCTTTGCTTGATTAACTTTAGCCAAAAGCAGTGAAAACTCTCATAACATCTTGAAATCACAGGCAAATTAGCAAAATATGGTCTTTCAGGGATGGAAGGTGCTTTTGCCAACACAATAATTTTGAGATATCTAATAGAGTTGGGGGGATCGATCCACCATAGTATCACAATATTTTCCATGGCAATACTGTATCGATACACAGACACCAAGTATCGATCTTTTATTAATATAAAATTGTACATGAGAATTTACCTTTTTTGGTACTATAATAATAAAATCAATAGCTTTTTCAGTCCACTAGAAAAAAAAAGTTTGCCTTTGGGGACACAATTTAAAGTTAGAAAAAAGTAATAAATTCCAATACATCGCAATATGTTTGAAATCACAATAATATCATATCTTGACATAAGTATTGTGATAATATCATATCGTGGGGCCTCTGGTGATTCCCACCCCTAGTATCCAACTTTACTAGAGTGCTTCCATTTTATGCTAATTCATAATTCCACACTACTACATTTTAGAGAGAAATGTACTTTGTTCCCCACTACTAAGTTCATATAGTAGTTCAAATTTGCTTAAATGGTGCTATGTTAATGGTGGGCATCAACTGAATGTAAATAAGTTAGCCAACATTAGCTAACGTTAATAATTAAAGTTGCCAGAAGTTTTCCCAGTTATGTTAGCTTGCATAAGAGACACGTCAGCAAAATATCGCTTGTATAACTTGTTTAAACATTTAGCGTCGCTTGAGTGAAGAGAGCTCAGCAACGTTAAGTTACACGGTAACACATGTGGCCAACAACTTTTTTTGTAATTGCAGGAAGTAGTCGTACTGAAATACCGTTGAGGTAACCAAGGCCAAAGCAAAAACTTTTCTTATGACAGCATAATGCTAACGTAGTTTTTTTTTTTAACTAGGCACAGCTGACAGAATGTATTTCTTACCTCTTCAAGGAAACGAGTGATGTCATATACTTTATCGTGGATGATGAGCCATGTGTCACTGCTCATATTATGTACTCTTATTTCTTCTAATGTGTAATATTTTACACATTCTGTTTCGCCGTTTTCCTCAACATTGGTGGTATTAGCAGGTCTATCGTTGGTGTTAATGAGGTTTTCGTTAATTTCCTCACCCATTCTAAAAGTTAATGCAAATAACCTGTATCAACTGAGCGGTAAGCTAACGTTAGCTTCCGTTAGCCAGGTATAGCTGTAACGCCAACGTTACCTAGCTACGTCTAGACCAGTTTACACCCTTTATGAGCGCGTTTAACGTTTGTTGAGCTCAAAAACCTCCTAATGACACCGTAGAGACGAGCAAACATAAACTAACATATAGAGTTACCAGGCAAACGCTAAACAATGTTGGGTTACGAAATCAAACAAACGCCCAACCCGGCACATCAGCAGTCACATGAAACAGACCAATGACGTGCGTGTTGTTTTACGACCAATAAAACTGTGCCTTTCGGAGTGGTGACCAATCAATATCGACCGGTTGATGATCATGCGACTAGGACGTTTGAAAAGTTGTCAACTGTGCGCTGTCTTTGCGCATACGAGTTTCTGCGTTTCCATAACGAAACGGGAGTTTATGTGGGCGAATTAATTTTGATTTATTCATGGAAAAAATAGTGTTCTTGTACATATGTAATTTTATGTTTTTACATATGGTATTAATCACTTTCAGCACAAAAAGAGATGAGATGCATATGTTACTGATAGGTCAGGGTAACAACCAGAAGATCATAACGCCTGATACTGTATGTACTTTGCCACTGGTTCACTGTAATATTTCACATGTAAATCCTGGATTTCATCAGCTCCCCTAAAAGTATGGTTTGTGATATTTTGGGGGGTCTCTAAAATATGGACAGCATGCTTAATTGAAATTAATCTCTATATTTCTCTATCATCATGGATCATGCGGAGCGTCAGACTTCATCCAGCCAGAGAGAACGATTACCTGACCGTACGCAGCAGGGCCAAACAAAGGCAGCCAGCAAAATGGCTACATATGATAAGAAAAATAATAATAATTATTATTATAAGAAGACAAACATGCCTGATACTTTCACAGTCAGCCCCGGGCCTACATGTAAAATGTAGCCAATTAGTGTCACCGTCCCCAAGTATTTCATGTTTTTAAAAAAAATCAATATACAACTCACATTGCTTTTCCCCTAACATGAGGCAAAGATACCATACATTCTTCAGTTTTGTGATGCAGCTGGCATGTTTTCTTGTGATTTAAAAAACCATGACAAACATGTGACTTCCTTTTCATCTCAACTGTACTTTCTTTAAGTTAATATGCTATTGGTTTACTGTGGAATACAATTTTAACAATTGTTATAACTTAACTTTATAATTATTATACTTTTTAAAAAAAATCTGTTTTGTGTGTCCGCAGCACATTATTGTGGGTTTTGAGATAAGCACGTTTCTAGTTCAGTTGTAACAGCACTCAATATCGCCTGCCAACTACATACCAGTAAGTTGATTCGTGATGGGTAAAACCTTTAAAGCACATGCTTGATGTATTTAAGCTATTTCCACATAATGCACTACAGCAGCAATCATTGCAGAGCACATGGACATTTTCTTTTCATTATCTTTTTCTTATTCTATAGACAAAATAAAAATAATCAAAATGATTCACTTTGTATTGGGAATGCAATACATGTGTAATGATTTCAAAATCAAAACTGTCTTACATGGAGTAGTGCATACTCTATTATCTATGTACAGCTATGTGCGTATGATGCATTAGGGATTTGTTTTAATTGTTCTATGCACTTAAGTATTACAGTATTAAATACAATAAGTACACTTATTGTATTTAATAACTATTTAGTTTGGTATGTGTTGTTCACATTTACTGCCGTTACTTTTTTAGTCATTTTGTTCTATTATAGAAATGTATAGAAGTGTTTTTCTCAGACATGTCTGTCTTTTAACACAACCTGTTTAAATAAAGTTTTGTTTTTTTTAATCAGCGAGCCACTAGAATTGTGGGATTGCAATGGCTGCTCACTTGTCTGTAAACATACGTGTTGTGTTTACGAAAGACGCCGTTTAAATATTTTCCAGCGACAGCTACAGGCCCGTGATTTGCCCGTCTATTAGTCGACCTCAAATGTTTAAGTTGATGTGAGAAGTTTCGGATTTTAGACCCAAAGAAACGCGCGGCAGTTTCACGCAGTTTGCTGCCCCGGCCTTGTCAGAATTAAACCTGATAGCTCGCAGGCTAGCTAACGCTACCTGCTCTATCCGAGGTACGTACGTTTCCTTTTATTTCATCTAACTGTTTTTAAACAGGTGAAAACAGGTGATTTTATCCCTATTTGTGACTTTGGAGTAACGTAACGTACACTGGTGAATTCACAAATTGGCTAAAAAGATGCTGATAGTGCAAATGTCATTTATGAGGGTAGAGTTACAACGTAAGGTAATTACGTTATCGGTGTTTTCTTGGGTTGGATCTGAGAAATTAAATTAATCGATTACTAGATGCTGCCCTTAGAGCTGAGAATGGCGAGCATTTTATTGGTCCAGATTCCCCACTGTAAAGATGTGCTTCTGTTTTATATTATTATTTTCAATTAACGTTAGAGCTGACAGTTGAGTAATCAATAGTTGATCGACAAAAGATTAGTCTGCAACAGCTTTGATATACAGCTAATTGTCTAAGTGATTTTAAAGCAACAATGCTGAAATTTCACTGGTTCTAACTTCTTAAATGTGAATGTTTGCAGGTTTTCTTAGTCTTCTATCATTGATCAGATGAAGCAAATTATTGACAAATTTGGTAACAATGAAAATAAGTTAGTTTAAGACCCAGTTCAGTAATGCCCAAAAGCCAAACACTCAAACCATTATTTAGAAACAATTAACTGAGTAAATATACTTTACATGTGTTGTCATGAGCAACAATTTAGTACTAGTACACATTTTCACATTTTACACATGTTGTTATTTCCCCACAGATAATGGATGACGATGTGTCCATGCATAGGCTAGAAGGGACTGATCCAGATGCTCAAGTTGGTGGACTCATAGTGAAGAAGAAGAGTGCTGCTGCAGAACCGCATGTTTTTCGGGCACCCACTCCACGCACCTCCCTGCTGGGCTTAGATCTGTTGGCAGCCCAGAAGAGGAAGGAGCGTGAGAGTAAGGAACAGGCAGATGCTACTGATGACACAAATAGAAAGAAGTCAAAGGTTTCTTCCTACAAGGACTGGGAAGAAAGTAAAAGTGACTCTGAGTCTGATGAAGAAGACGATGAGAAGAACAGAACTGCTAAGAAGGAGAGGTAAGTGTCAGTGCTTCACACAGAATAATATATTATTAAAAAATATGTACAACATATAAATAAGACAGGCAACACCTATCCCTAATGTCTACGAAGTAGGGGAAAAAATCATATGAATAAATATTAAGAAAATACAAGGACAAATTTTACAGTGGGCTGAGTTTATTTATTTAATACTTTGAGTCTGTAGACTACTGGACATCTCAATTTTTGGAATTTTTACTAAACCTTTTTGTGGATTTTATCCTGTTGTATCCTGCTGAGAAAAAGACAGAGCTTTCATTCCGAGTCACTGCAAAACTTAAATTAACGTTGTTGTTTTTTTTTTGATGTTTGTATTGCTAGTATTTGTTTTGTTCCCCTTTTACACTTTTCACAATTATTTTACTGACTGTAGTTGTGTACAAATAGTATGATTAACATGTAATATTTTTATTTTCATCTTGCCAGCAGGAAGTATCGTGTGACCGGCTCCGAGACGCCCTCAAACCCCGGAGGGGTCAGTGAAGAATTCCGACGCAGACACCAGCAGAGAGAGAAAGACAGACGTGAGCATGGAGTCTATGCCTCCTCCAAAGAGGACAAGAACAGAGAAAAAGACAGAGAAAGAAGCAGAGATAAAGGCAGAGACAGAAGGAGTGAAAGAGGTGATTCTGCATTTTCAATTTTTTGCTCAGAACAATAAGCAATTACATTTTGGACAACTTGTGATGGGCAGATAGCTCATTATGCTACTTTTTTCATTAAAAAACACTTATTTAGTCATTGTAAAATGGATCAAGTATTTGAAAAAGCATACTGTTAGATCAGTCAGGGTTGTTGGAAGTAACTATCCCTTCTCTTTGTCTGTGAGATGAACGAGCAAGCAGCCATAGCCGTGGCAGCAGCAGCAGCCGGTCGGAGCGCAGCGAGAGGAGTGAGCGCTCGCAAAGAGATGGCTGGTCCGATCGCATCAGTCGGGGGAGTAAGAGAGATGAGCCCCTGACACCACAGCATCGCCCCAGAGGTAGTTTTGTTTGATTCATTTGCTTATATTTCAATTTAATATTTATAATTTTCCTTGTTTGGTAGTGTTAGAGAAACTAGCAAGAGACAGCTAGACAGACATTTTCCAGGCCTTATTATAGTCCTGATTTTTTATGATTGCAGTCGGGATGTAAAGAGAATTTTAACATTTTAATTTTAACAATTTAATATTTTGTTTTTACATAGATTCTTTCACACCCTCACGCTCCAACTGGGAAGAGGATGACAGTGGTTATGCCAGTTCACGGCATTCCCAGTGGGAGTCACCATCCCCTGCCCCGTCTAACAGAGAGTTGGATCGCTCAGAGCGAAGCCATCGCTCCAGCCGAGAGAGTGAGAGGAGAGATAGGTAAACCACTGGCATTAATTTTATCTCACATTTTTATCCCCCTCGTCCCAAAGCCTTAATTATATTTGAAAAATGTACTTAAAGTGGATAGCACAATTGTAGTAACAAATGATGATGGTTTAGTGCACTTAATTGTGACTGAAAGACCCAAAATTCCTCGTATTTCTCAGTAGTTTGAACTTGTTCATTCTCCAAACACCTTATTTGTCTGAAAAACTGGACCTGCTGGTTATTAGCTTTGGACAACATGGCTATTTATTATTATTATTAATAGCACAAATTTACAGCTCCATGATTCATTCTGTCACATTTTCTTTCACGATGAGCTGCTGAGAAACTATTGCTGATTGATGCTTACATAACGCCTGTCTGCTGTGTGCAAAGGTCAATCAAAGGTCGTTACCCTGATGACACACCACTGCCTACCCCGTCATACAAGTACAACGAATGGGCCAATGACAGAAAGCATTTGGGTTCTACACCCCGTTTATCACAAGGAAAAGGTACTGTACTAAAGACGAGCCATTTTGTGCTCATGAGCAAGATTTAAATTCTGTATGTCTGATAACATTTCTTATTCTTTCTCTTCTTTAGGTAGGAAAGAAGATGGCGAGGGAGGTATTATGTTTGATAATGAGGGTGAAAAAGAACAGTGGCAGGAGGACCAGAAGGTGAGTGGCACAGTTATGAATCATTTATGCCTCATAGAAACTTTACTATTTT